TTGTTTTAGTTTTATGTTATTTTTTATTCAAATTAGAAAAAAAATCTATTATGGTGAAGTATTTATGTCACTTCAGCAGGCCTGGGTTCAATCCCAGTCCCCCCTGGGTTCTCTGATCACGATTGCTTCTGAAGGGAAGTAAAACCGTTGGTCCCCGGTTCATGAGTTGATGGGTCGATGTGGGAGCTGCCTCCCTGCCGTTGGTAGCATTGGTGCTCAGCACGGAAAACAAGATCGACGGAATACAAGTCAAGCAAAAAGAAAGTATGGATGATGTTTAAATTTCGATTTAAGGGGAATTTTACCGGCCCAAAATTAAAAAATTATTTTCGGTACGTTTTTATTTTTCTAAAAATATTGGAAATAATAATCAAAAATCCAAGAAAATCAGTTTCTTCCTTAGATTTTTGTCAAAAAATACATTCTTCTGTGGTTTTTTGAGTCCAACTTTACGCCATAATGACTTGCACGTGAATTTTCTTTGAAAAATTAGAAAAATGTGATTTTTTTAGATTTTTGATAGGGGAATTTACGTATTCTCGTCAATCTAAGCAGCGTCTGCACTTCTACTAGCATTTTCTCAGCGTCACGCACATATATGATGTGTCTGTTTGTTTACATTCATCTGCTGCTTGCTTTTCTATCCATTCCAATCGACAGAATTTTTCAAAACGTTTTGAAAGCGTTTTTACAACGCTCCAAACTTCTCAGGTGAGTGTGACTATTGTCGGCAGCCTCTTTTTCTTCGGCAACCTTCCCATTAGAACTGCGTGTTAACCAGCTGTTCTATTATCGGCAACTCGAAATCAACCCCATTTTGTAGTGCGTATGCTTTATTTGAAGAAAAATGCAGCATTACCAACAATCAATACGAAACTAACGATTTTAAATTGGCTCACCACTTTAGTAGCCTATTGGTCCCAAGCAAACGATTAACGTACCCTATTCTAGTTGAAATTCTATTACTACACTATGTTTGTTTTGATTCGCTATGAAAGTTTGACAGATAACATCAGGGGTGTGTGGATTCATGCAGAACATGCAGGGGTGAGTGAAATAGCTTGGGACTGCTTGGGACCGTTGTTCTGGTACTGAGTGAGCCAAAAATAATAATGATTTTCTTCGGGACCCAGTGGTCTTAGAGTTACCTCTATGGCATTACTGGATTGCTCGATCGTTCAAATATAATCAGATTGAAGCTGAAAGGCTAAACAATCGTTTGGACACATTCAGGGAAGTGCGTTGATGGGAAAACATAGTGAAATTAACGTTTAAATTTTGGTTGCCGAAAACAGTCAATGGGTGCCGAAGCCAACATTTACCTTACCTCTTTTCAATATTTTTAGAAAAATCAAAACGTAATTATTTTTTCGGAGCAGTGAACTTCCCCTTAATGACCCAATTTGACTTAATGGTTCCTTTAGCCATCTCTCATTTGGCCTAACAGCTCTCGACCTGCTGGCTTGGCACTTTGTGGAAAGCTAAGGGCGGGCGCCCACTGATATGGCGGAGATATGGCATATGTGAGCATATCAAAACATCATTGGCGAATGTTCGACATGATGTTTTGACATTTTAGCAAATGTCACACCTCCGCCTCACAAGGTTGCAAAGACTCATTTCAGCTAAAATAATGTTTTTCGGAATAATAAAACCAAAAGATGGTATGATGGCATGTTTTATTTGTAACTTACAAGAAGAGGTTACAAAGTATGCGTTGGAAACATAAAACCTGTAAATTTTGCTTTCTATGAGTCACAATCAGCGATTTGCTGATCGCTGAGTGAGTGAGTGAGTTTGTGAAAAATCGCTGATTGTGACTCTCATGAAGTGAAATAAACAGGTTTAATATGTCAAACACATTCTTTGCAACCTCTTCTTGTATCCTACCAATTCAAAATTTGATCGTGGCATCTAATTATTTCATAATTTAGAAAAACATTGTTTTAGCTGAAATGAGTCTTTGCAACCTTGCCGCCTCACCTGTCTGTGGGCACCGGGCCTAATTAAAACTTATGGAACTTTTGGAGAAACCCTTTTTTACATCACGTTGAACTCGCAATGCATTGTCCTCCAAAGAAAAGCTGGAGATTTTTTGATTTTGCTATTATGATGTAGGGGTATGTCGGTTTCGGCAATATCTTAATCTATTATCGTCAGGGGGTAAACACAATCCTAGAACACTCAAATTTGGCCAATAGATGCTCTGAAACCAATGTATCTACATGCCAAAATTGAGCTCTCAAGGATATTGTTCACCCCCTGACGATAATAGAATAAGGTATTGCCGAAGACGTCATTTACCCTAGCTTATTTTGAATATTCTAGTTGATCTCATTTTGGTTGACTTAACGGTTAACATAGCAAAAATGAGAGCAAAATTTTACACCGTTGAATCAAACGGAAAACTAATCCATGATTACTGATTCTGCATTCATAATATTTAACTTAATATGGGCATAGCGTAAGTGGAATGCTTCTCACGCTGAAAGACTCACCCCGCACAAGTCACGAATTATCTCAAATGTGTTAAACTAATTAAATAAACAATAATCCTTAAAGAGAGAGAGAGAAGGTAATTGCCATTTAATTCCACTACCTTATTTGCTTATCCTTGACATTCATCATATGGCAACCAAGCCGTCGGAGCCAAATAAATTCATCGGATTGAAGAAAACCATCCCATCGCTTCGTAATGACGTAGCATTTCTGAAGAAATTCCAAAAATATAATAATAATATAAGCCATAGGATTAAGGTACGGACACCCACCCCACCCAGCGTAGTAAAGAGGATGGAAGCAGAGTTCATCAAAGATAGCATCAGACGACTATGAAAATTTTGGAATGTTATTCTCTACATCTCAAATTGGCCAAGGAGTATCCAATTAAATTCCAGGAGTTTATGTCTAGGGCCTAGACATAAAGGAAGCTAAACAGACTACGACAGGAGTCTCAACGGAGACGGACGACTCACCGAACGAGTGAGCAAATCCCATCAACCAACGCATTCACGGAAGAACAATTCACACACCTCAACAAGGGGCTAGGATACGCGGTTACAACCAAGCCAGACGTGGAGCAGATCATCATTGACGTAGACACAGCTATTACCAAGACACTTTCAACATCATCACAGAACGACGTTAGGACTATCACATCGAACATAATCAAGGACGGACAGGAACAAAGTCGCGCCAACGAAAAAGAAATTCGGATTGTAAAGGAGCTGAAAAGTAAAGCAGTATACTACGTGACAGCAGACAAGGGCAACGCGGTCATTATCATGCACAAGGACGATTACGACAATCAGATGACACGAGAAGATAAACAACGGACCGTATAGACAGCTTCGAGTAGACCCCTTACAGAACATAGTGAAACGCGTGGAGAAAGCACTGAAGGATTGCAAATCGATATTAGGAGATGGAGCAGGTTGTTTACGGAAATCCAATCCCATCTTACCCAGGATCAAAGGTCTCACCAAAATCCACAAACCGAGGAATGAAATGCGAAAGATCGTGTCTGCAGTTGGTTCCCTCACGCACAAACTAGCGAAGTGGCTAGTCACAGAGTTCCAGAGTAAAGTAGTTCGTAACACCCAGGAGTTCGCCCAGCAACTACAATCTTCAGTTGTCAAGGATAAGCAAATAAGGTAGTGGAATTAAATGGAAATTACTAATCCTTCTCTTTCTCTCTCTCCCTATACAGATATTCCACTAAGACGCCCACATTCATCAGAAATAATCCTTAGTTCAACGACAGATACATTTTCAACAAGACGTTAAGAGTAAAACTTTAAGTTGTGTTGCTTTAATTAAAAAAAAACTCTTGACTGCATAATGGAAGCACAATATGATATCAGACTTAGGGGAAATGCCTCTAATGTTGGCCTATAAATTTAAGATTGGACCCATCGCTAAAAATCTGCTATTTATAAATTTTAACTGGATGAACGCGTCATTGGGACGGTACTAATAGATATTTTTGGTCGCTATTGAAAATTTAGTAGAATGCTGAATTTATGTATGGGTTCAAATTAGGGTGACATTAAATCCACTTCCTCTATGTCGTGACAATTGAAATCAAAATGAGTTTTCATTGTGATAGGAACTGTAAACTTTACGACCTATTTGCTTTCATTTTGTTAACCTACTTTGCTTATATATGTCATAAAAGGTATTTGAAATTAAACATAAACATTTACTAGTCACGTTCCTTACATTTTGAGTTTTCAAAATTTACTACAGGAATTACTCAAGTTTTTCCTCAATTTGCAAGTCACTTCGTCATTTTTGGACACTTTTTGAATAACCTTTTTGCATTTTTGTTTTAACTATTTGGTCACTTTTTAAGTACTATTCAATTGGTACCAGCCCTGGGTGCAAAAAAGTCATTTAAAGGCAGAAGCGATCTTAGGCCAAGCGCGTAATTATTGAATTGTTCCCTGTTTCAAGTAATCAATTTTTTTACAAAATTATTTTTCGTTGAGAACGTGGTATTCAGTAGCTTGTAGGAGGGCCATAGTGAACAGTTGAGGCATAATAAGCATCCTGTACTTTAGCCTTAAATTTCTATTTGTTCGAAACAAATTAATTTGTAGTAGGTTCAATATCAATATGATATTGAGCCTGCTATCAATTAATTTGTTTTGAGCAATTAGAAATTTAAGGCTAAAGTACATGATGATCTACCTGTTCACTATGCCTTGCCTTCCCCTACTTGTACACGAGCATCTTATGAATATAACCGTGTAGAGCTGCTATATATTAAATTTTCAAATTAGATACGCTGCCTTCATACTTCCGTTTCTATTATTTGAACCATTTTACGTTCTCGTTTACACCTTTCAGTATTTACGAAAGCATCTGTATGCGTGCTGAGACGAGATGACTCTGCAAAAATTTTGGGTAGGTAATCCCATTAACACATGCCGCTTTTGCAATAAGATAAATGTTTGTTTTTTCATCAATAAAATCACTGAGCTATCCCACATACATACCTCAACATCCAATCCGAGGTTGCGAGCCACCAGCAGGGCCGATCGAGACGGTGGTGACATGGGGAAATGGTACAGCACAATGGTCGCCATGGTTCACTAACTTCTTCTGTATTTTTTCGAAGTTTATTCACACTTGATATATCACTGCGGTTAGGATTTTGGGTCTTCGGGAACCTCGAGGACTGCTGCTTTTTTGTTGCTTGTAGCTTGAGCACCAAACTGTAACTAGTGCCGCGGTGGTGTGCAGCTAATAGTTTTATACCGGTCCGCTGTAGCAGCTTCGAGGCGCATCAACCGCGAATGCCGCGTAGTGAAAAGTGGTGCTGACTCACCAAGGGATGAATTGGGATCTTGAATGTAGATAAATGTAACATTTTTACAAAGCACCTGGATCAGCTCATTTGTTTAAGCATAATGATATTTGTTTTGATTCCCATTTCGGTATTTAAATCGTGATTGAAATAATATTCTTATTGTCGATCTAACGATTACATAAAGCGCCGCTTGTGGCAATCAGGAAAACTTGAATAAGGATGATGGTTTCATAATTTTGCACTACGAGGTAAGAGGGGAATAGTTTTAAACTGCTTTTATTTTACCAATAAAATATTTATTTATTCTAATTATATCGCCAATCCATAACTTTTGGGTCCTTCTTATGATTGTCAATTCATCTTTAATTAGTCAAAGTGTTTTTTGCATCTTAAAACAACGGAAGATCTTTTGGGATGCCTTATGGAATGTAACAATATTCGCTCCTACAGATGTACGCAAACATTTTTTTTTTTTCTAAAACGAATGTCTCAATAAGCCCCAACTTCCCTTCCGTCTAATGGGGCTCATCGATCGACTTGGGAAGTTAAAAAAAACATATCAACATCTTCGGTGACGTCACAATTGATCAGGTTTATCATCATCATCATTGTTGTTCTGCGCATTTTTGGATACTGGAAGTTGGGATGACTTATTGTCAAAGCAAAGTCGAATCGCCCAACGGAAGGCAGAAGAAGTCGCTTTACATGGTTTGATGAATCTCACGAGTCATGCTGATGGTGGTGATTTTCGAGGTTGTTTAGCTGGTATGGAAGTGTGGTAGTCATCTTTTCAAAATTTGTAGGGTTAGGTACATGATTTTATTACAGCACTTACCCTTGAGTCGTAAGCATGATGTATCCGGGTTAACGAGCTTAGACTAAAATATAAAATCGGTAATGTGACTGTGGAGGGGTTTTTGGTTCGCATAGCATAATGTAAAGGAGATGATTAAAAGTCACGAAATCTTTTCGTTTTGCATCTACACTCAAAATAATCGACACGTTATAGTTACATGAAAAATCTTGTGGAGTATCTCTTTTTGGCTTACCGTCAATGTTACATGACCAAAGTAGAATCTACATGGCAACACTTATATATTCATTTTCATTTTACAGCGTTTAGTGGGGCAATGGGAGCGCAAGTCGATCCAAAGCCGAGGATAAAGGAAGGGTAATGGCTGAATAGTCTATGCGGACCACTTGAACGCCATGGAAAAGGATTGGAGAGGTCGGTTATTGGGGGGTTTGAGGAAATGACAAATAGTACTAGATTTCTGCTGCAAAATGTAAAGAAACCGAAAATCCATCTCCCACTGACTCATCCTTTCACATATGTACCAAATTGATATTTTAAAGCAACCATCAAAATAAACAGACAATGTATGAAAAGGCTAGTTGCCAGTTGCTTTAAAGGTTAGTTGCCTCCCTAAGCGAACCCCCCGCATCCTAACTTTTTTGTTAATCTACTTAAGGGGGTAGTACACTTTGAACGTCCAAAAAGTACGGCATTTTCGTTAATTTTTTTAAGCAATAAAACACTCAGGGAGGGCAAATATGTTATAACCCATTTATTAGTCATCCTTCGAACTACAATTTGTATTTTTTTGAACTCGATTGGCGTCTCCTCGAACAATGAAATTTGGGTTAGAAATACGTATTCCGATTTTTTTTAAATTATTTTTTTCAAAAGTTGTGGCCTTAGGAAAAAAGCCCATTTTTTCACCCTAAAAATGCTTACAAAATCGTGGATTAAAATGTGGATACGTATTTCTAAGCAGAATTTTATTCTGAACAAGAAAACCTAGGCGATATCCAAATTTGATGTGCCGATGCGTTAGTTCATTAGCTACAACATAAACCCTGTTAGAGCGCATTGTATAAATATTACGCTCATTGTGAAGTAATGAAATTGGGTTGTTAGCGGAATGCTAAATAAAACAGCAAAAGGGTTTATCTTCCATTTAATTCCAGTAAGCTAAAGGAGAAAAATCTATACAAATCTCTAATAAGGAAAATCCCCAAAAGCTTGGTAGCCATCATAATGAAGTAATGAAATTGGGTTGTTAGCGGAATGCTAAATAAAACAGCAAAAGGGTTTATCTTCCATTTAATTCCACTTAATTAATTCCCACTAAAGAACTTATCAAAATCTAACCCCCTTAAGTACTCATCCCCTAGGTAAAAAAGTCAAGATCATAGGTATAAAAATGAAACTACAATGTGTTGAATCGGAACCTACCTAACTAATAAAAACCAAAGATTTAAGTAAGCTAAAGGAGAAAAATCTATACAAATCTCTAATAAGGAAAATCCCCAAAAGCTTGGTAGCCATCATAATGAAGTAATGAAATTGGGTTGTTAGCGGAATGCTAAATAAAACAGCAAAAGGGTTTATCTTCCATTTAATTCCACTTAATTAACCAAACTTTTTTACCTAGGGGATGAGTACTTAAGGGGGTTAGATTTTGATAAGTTCTTTAGTGGGAATGACACTGATGAAGACTGCACATTGTAGTCGAAATACGTATCTGTCATGGATACCAAAATTAATTAAGTGGAATTAAATGGAAGATAAACCCTTTTGCTGTTTTATTACGCTCATTGTTCTCAAAACAAAAGAAGCGCTCCTAGCGAATCCCTTTTTTCTATTTTTATCCGTAGGACGAAGAAAATCTAATGGCGTTTCAATGCGTTTGGACGGAATTGAAACTCGTAGGACGAATTTAGAATCAAGAAGCAGTATTAGATTTTAAGCAATATCTCAATAATTTATGACTCTTTATCAAATCCAATGGTACGTATGGAAAGGTGAATAAATTTAGAAATCATATTTGACAGAAATATTCTCCTTTTTGTTTAAACTCGTTCAGAAAAGAGAGATAAAGCGTGGGTTGTGCTTAGTACGACGGAAATTAGATCAAAAACCCTACGACAGTTTACTTCAAAAGCTACAAAAAAAATTTATAATTATGAGAACGCATCAAATGAATGTTTACATTCATTCTTCTCAAAAACAAATCAAGTGCGCCGAGCGACACCATTTCTTCAGTCTGCACTCGTGTGCCGAATGGATTTCAATGGCATTTCAATGTGTTCTGCCGGAATTGAAAACGTTTGACGGAATGGGCGTCTAATAGTGGTGTAAGGATTTTATCATTAATACAACAATTTGTTACTCATTTGGTATATCCATTTAGAAGTTGATTAAAACATTCTACTATTTGTTAAGTGGTTAAGAGCTTAAGTGTGGTTTGCGCTTACTATGACGTACACTAGGGTATTTTACCCAATTATTGTAAGAATTAGAATAATGAATATAACAATAAGCATAAAAATAAGCATAACAATAATGAGAATAAGAATAATAATACTGTAATAATAAAAAAGCATTAACAATAATAAGAATAGGCATAACAAATAAATAATTTAAATAAATTAAATTTTTAAGTTTCTGAAATTGTTCAAAAATTCACTTTTTTATTTTATATTATGCTAAATGTGATGAATCTACATTAAATTATTTTACGTAATTTTAGCACAAGTGGAAAAAATTTCGATTTATGTAGGTCTCAATTTTGGCAACATAGATGAAACAGCTGTGTTTCCAAAATCGAGATCCATGTGTTACATGAATAAGCATAATAAATAGAATAACTAGGGTAGAGAACTACTTCGACCTAATCGCCCATTTTGGGCCTATCGAGCAGAAAACTAACTTCAAATATATCCATGATTTTAGAGTTAGCAAGTCAATTATGCGTTTGGTACGATACTTTAGTTAATAAGCTTCCGAATGAAGTTAATGAGAACGCGTGGTATGAAGGTTTGAACCCGTTATTCCCAAAAACAAAAGAAGCGCTCCGACCGAATCAATTTTTATCTTCATCCTATAGGCCGAAGTGAATTCTTTGGCGTTTCAATGCGTTAGGCCGAGTTTAGAATCCGTAGGCCGAGTTTGGCGTCAAGAAGCGGTGTTAGACTTTTGACAATATCTCAACGATTGGTTTCTCTTTATCAAATCTTTTGGTACGTACGGGAAGGTAAATAAATTTGGAAGCCAGCGCTAGATTAAGACATACTAAGTGCGGGTTGTGCTTAATATGCCGGAAATGGCTTAGTTAACCCTACCGTAATAATAAGGGTTAGCATAATAATAATAAAAGTTAGAATAATAAGATGGCGGACTACAGTTACACTGAAATTGACAAATATTGTCAAATACCCCACAATATGGGTATTTTTGGAATCGGAATGACGTGCAGAGACCAGAAATAGATGTCTGATGCTGTTTTGAAATCCAATATGGCGGCTTCTGGATAAAGATAAACTTGGAAATACTGTCAGATAACCCACAATATTGGTATTTTTGAATTCGAGGTAACGCGTAGGGTCCGGATCAATGTCAGATGCTTTTTTAAAATCCGAGGTGGTGGTTCCGGTTAGAGACAAACTTTAAAATACTGTTAACTACCCCACAATATGGATAATTTATGAATCGGGGTGACGTGTAGGGACCATAAATTGATGACTAACGCCTTTTGAAATCCTAGAGGCAGCTTTCGCTTAGTGATAAACTGTGGAAAACCGGCAAATAAAACATGGCCCACTTAGTAATTAGACTCACTTTGCTTATTACAGCGCTCGTAGTGGACGTATTGGGAAGCTTTTAACGTCTATTTGTTGACATCAACAATAGCAATAACAGTGAATAATTTGTTTCGTATTTTTCTTAAAATATAAGGAATAGTATGCACTTGAGTGAAGACCGTTTTCAAATCCGATAATTCATATCCGAAATAGACCCAAATCATGTTGTTTCATTACTAAGTGGGCCATGGTTTACCTCACAATGGTATACTCTGACAGATTGAAGTATCTTGCAACCCTACTACAAGAAAAAAAAGTGATAATACTTTTTTGAACAAGATTTAATTTTTTTAAGTGGCCTTTGAATAAGCGCGGAGCAAGA